TAAGAGGTATCCTCATGCTTAAGTAGTAAAAATTGTTCATAAAATTACTGACTTCTAATTTCTAGAAACTGAAATTCAAATAAGGTCTGTTAAGTTTAATTATACCAATAACAATATTAATTTATAATTACAATTATTTATTTGCACAGAAGACAAATATATATATATATTAAAATAGTCAATATTACCCAATTTCGTCGATATCTTCATTCTATAGTTATACATATTTCTTTCTTATGTTACATACAATATTAAAGTGCCATCTTACAGCACTTTACAGCGTAAAGATTTTTTTTATTCCATTCAATGTTTATTTGCTAATTCAATCTCTAGAATAGAATATTATTTTCATACAAATATGTTAAAATTAAATTATAAAATATAAATAAATATAAAATATAAATAAATATAAAATATAAATAAATATAAATACAAGTGCTTAATTAATAATTGTATTACATGCTATATTTTTCTTTGTATATAACGAATCCTAAAAGGCTTTGCGCAATAAGTTATAATAATATTATTTTTATATTAATAAAATTTCAAATGAGATATATTTTAATTATACATATGTATTTATATAGATAGTTACTATAACTGTTCATAAAAAAGTGGCGCAAAACAGATTATTAACTTTCCTCATAGCATTATTTTGTATAACTAAATTAATATCTTTGGTTTTTAGTTTTCTATGTAGCACTTTTTAAGTACTTAAAAATTTATTTAATTATTTTTAAAATTTTAATTTAATTTATTTTACATTATTTTGTTTTATTTTAAGTTTTGTTTAGATATCTGATTTTATATTATTTTATTTAATAGTTTCATAATTAAAAATTCTCCTTTTTTAATTTTATGATGAATTTTTTGCTTTATATATAGTTTAACTTATAATAAATTTAATTATTTATAAATTTAAATTTTTATAATTGTTTTCTTAACTTTTTCTTATATTATTGTTAATTTATTTGCTTTTTATGAATTTTTTTATTTTATTGTACTATGATTTGCAATTACACTTTACTTAACTATAGCCACTTTTCAAATTAACTACTTGAAAGTGTTTAAATAAATTATACTAATAATAAATGATTTCAATAAATTATATTCCAAACAATTTTATTAAGCAATCAAGTTGTTAATAATACAATTAAAGCGCGTACCAAGAATTTTATAGCCCGGGTTTTGCTATTGTGGAGTTGCCAGCTTGAAATCAAAACAAATTTGCATGCACAACCGAAAGGAAATATAAAATCAATAAAACAAATGCGACTCATTAGTAGTGCTCAATGGGTTTTATGGCCGCCCAAGTTAATGCGATTTAATACCAGAAATTTATAAAGCCAACGCTGAAGAATTGAAATGGTTTCGTTCTGCCACTCACAAACTGACCGTCTTTGTGTAGTTGCCAGTATGTACTTTTATTGAATATCAGAGACAGTAGCACGTCAATGTCTTGTGAACATAAAATCCTTTCGAAAACCATAAGCCATACCATAGGTATGATTACAGTAGTATTGGGTAGATTTCTTTTTAAATAAAATTTTATGGCTACTGCAGTTTGAGCCAACCCACAATGGATACGATACGATTTCAGTGGCATATGATTTGTCGCAACCTGGCGCAGGTATGAAAATTGTCATTAATTTTTGTCACACACACTGGACACAGAGAATATGTTTTTTAGTTGGTTTTTGTCACTTTGTCACTGGTACTAAATAAATTTTGTTTCTGTTTTTGTTTTTGTTTTTCTAGAAATGTATTTTGTTTCATTTACAGTCTATTTTTTATTTTTATTTTCTTTTTTTACTTTTTGTGTTATATCTCAGTTTATATAAATGTTTTCTTAACACGCTCATGCTTTTTGTCAACGCGTTGCTTTAATTTTCACATATTGTCTTGAAATGCACCACGAAAGGGTTAAGTGCTTGAAAGTAGCACTATTCTAACTGTACATGAGGGTTGGTTGCCTCTAATACACTTTCTGGGTTTTATTAGCTTTGGCTTTTGTGGTGTTAATGACGTGTGCAAAAACTTATGTAGATTTTTTTCTAGTTTTTTGCATATTAACTAGTTTTAAGCTTAATAAATTTTTATTAAAGGGCTTAGTTTTTATGTTAATTTAATATAAATGTTCGAGTTTTAATGCATTTTATGTGTCCATTAATGTGCTGTATGCATATGAAATAGCGTAAAACAGGAAAAAACTAGATACGAGGAAGTTCTTTGGAAAGAACTAGAGAGAAATAAAACAAAAATAATATAATTTATATTGTGTGAGTTGAACTATTGTAGACAAAAACTACACAGGTGCATAAATAGTACATAAATTTATTAAGAATTGGAATTCATAGTTTCTCAAATAATAAAGTTTTATAGGTATTAAATTTATGGAACATACTAAATAACTAAAAAAATGATTATCTTTGTTATAAATTTAAAAATTAATGCAATAACTACAAGAATAAGCTGATATGATTAGCAGATACGTTAGCAGAATAAATAGTAAGATGACCCAATTGAGTATATAGTGTAACCCAATTGAATTGCACTTCAATTCATAGTGCAATAACCTTTAAACGGGTTATAATACTGTCTTTATATTTCGCTAGACAACTGATTTTATTTTTCAATAATAAAAATTTAAATAATTAATTTAATAATTTAATTGAAATAATTTGACTATTTTTATTTGACTATTTTTAGATTTTCTTGATATAAAATAAAGGTATAGTTTGGGATTATAGTAAAATCAAGCTATAATTTTGTACTGCTACAAAACGCTCTAGCGGCCATAGATTGTGCTTAAGACGATTAAGCCACGAATTGAACGATATGCGCACAACAGTTGAAGACGAATAGCTCTACTTTTGATCTAAACAAATTCAAATCAACTAAATAATATATTATATTTCTTTAAGACCTTTTTTTATACAGAAAATGCAGCATTGTAGGAAGTTGCAGTTCAATTGGGCCACTCTGCATTTATATATATATATATAATTTATATGTATAAGAATGTGTATTTACCTAGATGGAGTTATAAAATAAGTCAAAAATTTTAAACGTTTTTTTTTCAAATTCAACAAATTCAAAATCATCACTGTCAAATTAACGTTAAAATATTAATTAAATCACACTCCTTATAGTATGATATAATTTTTTTTATGATCACTGATTTAATAAATATGCTTAACTGATTTACCGAACTTCCAATTATTTCCATTTATTTACAGTCTTAACTGATTTTACTAACTCGACGATTAATTATAAGCTTAGCTCTACATGGCAGTTGACGACAAACGACAGTTTTTCTTAACCCTTTATTCGCAACTACTCGCTGCGTTACTACTTTAAGTATGTAACAGCGAGTTCATACTAACTTCAAACTTACGCCATATGCGCGCTAGACTCTGATATATTTTGTTTTAATTTAAAAACCGTGGGAATATCTAAAACGCGATCGAAATAATAAAATCGAAATATTAGTGTGCCAAACTAAGTCTATCTGCCACAAAGATTTTTGCAGACAACTTTAAAGTATGTGGGCCGTAACGCCAAAAATTAACTCACTGCAAAATGCCAAAAAAAAAAAACATATTACAAAAAAAAAATAAAAAAGACAATAAAAGAAAATAAATGAAAATAAAATAAAGAGTTAAGAAAAAAAAAATCTTTTATTTAAAAACAGAAATCAAAGTTGAGATCAATATGTGTATTTCGGTTAAAAGATATAATAAAAAAATAAAAAGCAAAAACTATAAAAATGAGGGCTTCCCCACCCCATAATGTAGCGTACATAAATCAAAAATTTACTCACTTCGCAGCTACTATGCCAGCAGGTTCAAAACAATTTTTTTCTTTAAATACATATAACAGCTGAAGAATGTATTGCACAAAAAAAAAATTATCTTTTTAAATATGGTATATATAACAAAAAGCTATAGAAATCGTATCAAAATAAAATCAAAATCCCGGCAAATAAACAAGATCCACAAAAACTAAACAAAAAATTTGCTTTACTAATATAAGTTCATCGTCCGATCAACTAAAATCAAATCAAAAACTGAAGTGAACTGAGCCCAAGTGAACTACGGGCAATACTGCCGGCCTGCAGTTTCGACTGCTTTTTTGTAGGGCGTTTTTACGCCAAAAAAAAGTATACAAAAAAAGTATTGCCATGTTGTCGTGTTCGTCAACTTCATCGACAATGTCTTCAGTAATGCTAATGCTGACGCTAGATCTTGTTAAGACAACATTTCATCAATATTAATAAATGAAGCAAAAAACTGATGAAAAAAAAAATCGGTATTCACTCAACAAGAAGGTAATATTATTAAAATGCACTTTTTCATAAAATGTGAAAACACATCATAAATACAATAACAACAACAACAACAGCAGCAACAACAATAGCAGCTATAACAACAACGGGTACAATATCTCTTTAACCCATAACAATAACAATATATGTACAATGTTCAATGTTGATCCTTAGGGGCACTTGAAAATATGGCAAAAAGCCAACTAAGCCAACTAAGTTGAAAGGAAAAAGGAGGTTAATACTTTGCTAAAATCAACAACAACAACAACAACAACAACAACAATAACAACAACCAAATATATCAACAATAACAACAACAACAATAATGTTTGGTAGATCAATTAAAAATTAACGATATAAAAAGCACTCGCACACAGCCTGACTACTTCTTTTCATAAAAATTTCTACTCGCTACGTTTTTCTGTTATTTTTCACAGAATGGGGCGTGTCAATAACATATTGAAACTTGCAGCCAGCAGCTAGCAGCTAACAGCGTAGAGTGCAATGTGTAGTACTCGTATGCGCTGGAAACTAACGTAGTTTCTAGTGTAGCGGCATATGACGCAGTTTAGTGCGAGTAATAATACTCGTTGATATTATTAAAGCTTTAAGCGAGTATTTTTTTTTTAAATTTTTCAATAAAAAATACATTAACTTTATGTATAAAAATTACTTGGCGTTGTTGCCTATCAGTATTAGCCGGAATATTTAAATGATTGAACAAGTCCATACTGATGCATCGATTGCAAGTATAACGGAAGTACTGCGGCCAGATACAAGCTGGGATATATGCATGTATGTACGCATTGCATTATATAAATATATTACACTTCGTTTGATGTAAAATCATATAATATTACACTAATATCTTTTTATGGGATTATAATAAAATATAATGTAATAGTTATGACAGGATGAGTTACGCCGTAAACGAGTGTAACGAGCAATATTAATCATATATACTTAGTATTTTTTACGACTAAAAATGTTATGTTATATGTATATAAATAGTTTTATATACACGTATATGTAATATAATGCGTAAAAAAATTTTTTTACACTAAAATTATGTATAATTCTTTTAATATTTAATATATATATTATAATACTTTGCATTTACATTTGTAAATTATTAAAAGAACTACAAAAAGAATAGTATTAAAATTTAACAATTAAAAATAAAAATATAATTAATTAATTCAAATATTCTAAAGCTGGTTTATGATATCGTTCTAATATAAAACACAACAAGTAAATTTGTTATTAAAACTTAAACAGCAAATCAACAAAACTCCAAAAAATGTGCGAACATAAGAGTCAAATACGGTTTTAAGTCAGTTGGTTAAGGTGCGCTGACTCTGAGCTTAAAATTTGGCAGGATACGAGTTCAATCCGTGGTATTGCATTCACAAAAAAATTATTCACGAATAATAAAATACAAGAATTATTTCCAAGACCACTGGTGATGGGTATTTGGCAATACTCGAAACAGCTGTATGGTCAGCAAAAAATTCAATTAATTAAAAAATAATATAAAATGAATTTCTGTTATTGTAGTTCACTACTGTTCGAAAAACCTCTTGATAAAATATTATTAAATTTGTATTAAATTTTATTTTAATCCAATACATACTCGCCCATACACAATTTTGAAACATTCATTGTGCTTTTGTTTTTGGTTCTACAAAAGATATATTAATTATTATAAAATATACAAACTTCATCATATTTAACTTTTATTGTTAAAGGATAATAGCATCCTTTTTATGTAAAGTAGACTGACATTAAATTCGTTTAGCGATATATATTTGAACAGTTCGAGCATTCAGTTTCTTTTATTTTAATAGCTTCTACTTTTTACTTTATTGTGATCAACTTTTCAGTCTATTTTAATTATTATATCTAACACCTACAATATACATTTTTATAAATATACTTATAAAGCTAATACATGTTAATCTATCGTAAAAGATAGATAGAGAGATTCATCAAGGACGTAGTGAGAGCCTACGAGCGAAGTATTGCAACACAAGTGATTCTTTTATGTTGAATCTGATCCTAACTGATTTTAGATATTCAAATTTTTGTGTGAAATTAAGAATATCCATCGATGAGATATTTATAATATTAGATGGCAATAGGAGCTTCAGGTACACCATAAGTTTTCTGTCTCAAACCAACAAAGGTAGTCATAATCGATGTGCCTCATTAGTCTATTTATTTCTACAAACCAAAATAAATCGATTTCCAATCTTCCTTATTTATTTCTTTCTTTAAGTGTGTCCTCTCTTTTTGTTAGATCAGAGAGTTCTAAAAATTATCGGTCCTAAAAACATAATTTCATTTTGTTAAATTTTGTGATAACGTTTGCTAGTCAATATTATAACAGTATATACATTGTGACCGAAAAGTTTTCGGAAATTCTCATTTAAAATTCGCGCGCTGTATATTTTTCGATATTTTAAGTTTATGTAGTTTGGCAGCACTGTCCTTAATTACTATGCCAAAAATGAGC